GATATAACCTGCCTACATCTACGGATGAGAGAAATCCACTATAGTTTTATGAATACGATAAACAAGAGTACACAACACCATAAACCCGGTATATAAAACAGAGTGGAAACAAACCTAGTTTTTAACCACGCTCAACACAATACCTAGAGTGGAAACGATCCCAGTTTCTAAGACACTCTCCCCATGGAGTTTAATAACCGTTACATCAAATACCCTATGTTTTCACATTTTCACATTCTCTCATAACCTTGAATCAGTTCTCACTCCTATATTTATAGGTAGTATATGAGATATTTTATTCCTAATATGATTCATATTTCAATTCGTAATTGGACTCTCATAATTCAATTCCTATTTAAAATTGTATTTTTTATTAAAGAGTTTTCTCAAAGACATATAATTTTACATGGAAACAAATAAGAAAACGAGCCACAATATTCCAACAAAATATTACTGATAATGAGATGTACTAAAATATGATATGCCTTATTTAACGAGATATATTAGAAAACCAGGTGAAGAAAAAGAATAGTGAAAGAGTAGATCAGGAGGCCTTGAATTAGAACAAGCAGCAGAAACGATCTCTACCTATTAAGAAAGTTAGGAGAATTTTGAGTATAATTAAATAAAACCAAGAAAACGAACTCTTCATCCAATGAACCTTATTTCTTCTTTAGATTTATCACACAACACCCGCCNAAAAAAAAAGCAAACAAACACTTAGAAAGAGTTTTAGCTCATTATAATGTCATTGATACAATTCCTAGATACACTTCATATATTTTTACAATAAAAAATGTTAGGAGATCGCATAGTGAAAAACATACATTCGAGATGAATAACATAAAAATAAAATCACACCACACAAAGAAATACGATATTTACGTGGTTCGGCATAACTCGCCTACATCTATGGATGAGAGAAATTCACTATAGTTTCATAAACACGATATATAAGAGTATACAATACCATAAACCTAGTATATAAAACAGAGCGGAAACAAACCTAGTTTCCAACCACGCTCAACTCAGTACCTAGAGTGGAAATTATCCCAGTTTTTAAGACACTCTCCTCATGGTGTTTAATAACCCTTACATCAAATACCCTGTGTTCTCACATTCTCTCATAACCTTGAATTGATTTTCACTCCCTATATTTATAGGTTGTATATGGGATATTCTATTCCTAATAGGATTCATATTTCAATTCCTAATAGGATTCATATTTCAATTCCTAATTGGACTCTCATAATTCTATTCTTATTTAGAATTGTATTTTTTACTAAAGAGTTTTCTTAAAGACATATAATTTTACATGCGAACAAATAGGAAAACGAGCCACAATATCCCAACAATCTACACCTTGGCGAGTTTTCCATCACAACGATGAACATGACGGAGATAACACTCCATCACCACAACATCAAGGTTATCCATGTCGAATTTTGCTAGCATCCAAGTCGCATAGTAGCCATGCCGAATTTTGCCGTCAAGATTTGAGAACCACTCCACCTATAACTTAAACGTGTTGTAGTCCGTCTCTTATGTGCATCCACCATTTCGAAAGAACGCATCTCCCAGGTTGCAACTTGGAGCTCTAATACCACTTATTAGGAGATCGCGCAGCGAAAAACATACATTCGAGATGAATAATATAAAAATAAAATCACACCGCACAAAAAGACACGATATTTACGTAGTTCGACATAACCTACCTACATCCACGGATGAGAGAAATCCACTATAGTTTTATGAATACGATAGACAAGAGTACACAACACCATAAACTCGGTACATAAAACAGAGCGGAAACAAACCTAGTTTTTAACCACGCTCAACCCAGTACCTAGAGTGAAAATGATCCCAGTTTCTAAGACACGCTCCCCATGGAGTTTATAACCCTTACATCAAATACCTTGTATTCTCACATTCTCTCATAATCTTGAATCGGTTTTCACCCCCATATTTATAGGTAGTATATGAGATATTTTATTCCAAATAAGATTCATATTTCAATTCCTAATTAGACTCTCATAATTCAATTCCTATTTAAAATTGTATTCTTTACTAAAGAGTTTTCTTAAAGATATATAATTTTATATGAAAACAAGTAAGAAAACGAACCATAATATCCAAACAAAAAATAGGTGGAACAATAAGCGTCAAATTTGTTGGAGCCCTGGAAAATGGTGTCAATAGACAGAATATTATAAGCGGTATAATAGTGTATCAAATGAAGGAGCTCATGACTTAATTCAAAATAGAATATAACAAATCTTGAAATAGTACAAACTTCCAATGTCCACACATCACATATTTCCAACAAGCTGCCAAAAACTTGAGTCGTTCACCGGGACAGATCCAGATTCCACAGGATCCACAAGAATATATATATATATATATATATATATATATATTACTTCACACAATTGTTAGATTGAATAGTTGCACAAATATTTATTGTAATAAATTGAATAGATATTGTTAATTTCGAGAGGTGAGATCTATACCGTGAACCATAAATTGAGATAGGTTTTCATTCGATAAGATGACTGATAATGAGATATACTAAAATATGATATGCCTTATTTAACGAGATATATTAGAAAACCACGTGAAGAAAAAGAATAGTGAAAGAGTAGATCAGGAGGCCTTGAATTAGAACAAGCAGCAGAAACGATCTCTACCTATTAAGAAAACTAGGAGAATTTTTAATATAATTAAATAAAAACAAGAAAACGAACTCTTCATCCAATGAACCTTATATCTTCTTGAGATTTATCACACGACACCCGCCATATCACGAGGTCTCAAACCTACTGAGAGAACAATTATAAAGCACGAGCCTAACCAGGTTTGGTTTTTTAATTGGGTCAAAGCTCGTTATGATACCAATTATAATAACTTGAACTCAAATAAGTACCAATTATATAATAACTTGCTCAACTAACGTTTATTTGCTTTAAATTTCACAGTAGCAGCCTTCATTGAGTTTACTTACCAATTGATAAAAAAAAGTAATAATTCTCTGCCCATGTGAGAGAAAAGGATGGGGATCCTTCAGTAAACTCTTGGATGTGAGTTGGCAATGCATGAGATATGTATATAAAGACTTAAAACATCACGTGAAGAAAAGGACTATTGAAAGAGAGAGGCGTTTGAATAGGAATTACCAGCAGAAAGGATCTACGGTTAGGCGCCATGTGCTGCCTGCACATTGGAAACATTGTCAATTCAAAGATGGAGGACTTACAGTTGGTCATGCGCCCGCATACAGACACCTAAATGTCAGCGAAAGCTCCTTTCAGGTTCCATTTTTTGTTATCGACTTTCCACCCTCTCTGCAACCACATTTTCATAAACAATTTCTAATGGCAGCAAAATGTCAAGAGTCTTGGTGATTTATTATTATTATTTTCAATATCAGATCCTGAGCTTACTTAAACCTCACACTGCAAATCTTCCAGTTCCAGATATATTGCAATGCAAATATCATATAATACATGATTTTCTGGATTCGCCTCTTAATATATTAATAAAATGAGACTGAATATGAATCAATAATGGGGGCATCACCAGAAACATCATCACGGTAAGTATTAAGTAAAATTGTTTCTGGAGATCTAAATATCAAATCTGGATTGACAAAAGAGTATTGTTAAGGTAGTTGAAGCGGCCTCCATTGATATTTATGTTAAGTAAGACTACTGAAAGTTTGATTGTTAAGTGAAGCCGGAAGCAGGTGAGCACGCATGCCAGTTAGTTGGTAACTGGCATGTACAGTAGTCGTAGAAGCTAAATTAATAAAGTCTACGAATTGAAATGTAGTTGGCCGTGAAAGACTCAATACGGAGGCTGAGAAATTATATATGCCAGAGCCAATTACCTTCCAGCTAACCGGCGGTTTCATGAATCAGAGTCTTAATTTTATGAGAGAGATGTCAAAAATAATTGAGAAAGTGTGTTTATATGAAGATCTGAAGCTGAACATTAAGTACGATTAAAACCAAGGTCCGAGGACGATTGCATTCAAATTAAAAACAGGTAGAGCCTTAGGTGAGGGAGTCTGAGTTAAGTTATTAAGATGAAGACAAATATTTGTACTAGTTTTTCTGGACATGTACTTGTGGAAAGGGAAATATATATATGTATATATATATATTTATGACTAAAATCACTAATCTCTCTGGCTCTCCCCTCACCAACAAAAACTTACTCTTTCAATGCTATGCTACTGTTTTGGGATCCATGCATGGAGTTGAATAGGCAATAGCTTAGCCGCCGGCCAGTTACCATTTTCTGACATTTTCAACCAAGGCGCCTAAATTGCATTAAACATGAGATGAGTAGAATTTTTCTTGTCTTTGCTTTTTTATGAAAATCAACATAGAGGAATTGGTAACAAAGTCAAGTCAAGCACCCAGAGGCTTGTAGTTCTGGTAAGGTACAAATAATAATATGCATAAATTAATGAGACAAAGTAAAGTAGTTGAACAGACATTTAAAATAGATTATTGGGTTTTCTTGACTCGATATGAATTGTTCAAAGTTTCGTTATGAGTAAGAAAAAATATATTTAATTATAAGGAAAAGATATATTTAATTATAAGGAAAAGTCCATCAATTCTATATTTTGCCATTATTCCAATAGCATCTAAGTTTGGGGAATCAACCATGATAACATGAACCAAATATCAAAGTACATATAAATAGTTTAGAGATAAATATATATTATAAAAATAATTGCTGAACTTGTTGAACAATGAAAGACATAAGAACACAAAGGAAATAAAAAACAGGAAAATCCAAAGTATCAGATTTTTCAGATTTCAACCAATTGTTGCTGGTATGGCTTTTCAGATATTCCCAATAGATTTATTAATTGTATAATGACACAAGATAGGTACATAGGAGACGTTGAAAAATATTGTATAGCCAATAAAGTTGAAAGATAGAAATACAAATAACAATATTTGACCATGTAGATCTCACTCTCACAATGAAAATAGAATTGAATCCAGCATTCATTTAAAGAAGCTGATTGAAAAAATAATGGGAAAAAATATACATGGCGAAAGGTCATTTCTAAATGTTTTTCTTGGACACAAGTGAAATGCCAGTCCAGGCAGTTTCAATGACTCAAAATTACATACATGTTTAGAATTTTTTAAATTACAACAACAAAAGATCCCTCTGGATCCTCAAATGTACACAAATACTCATCTCTATAAGAACTATAGTCCAAGAACTCCCATCGTGTTTGAAAAAAGAGCCAAGTTTCCAGACAGCTATTTACCATGCAAGCCTAAGGGACTTACATTTAGAATCACGTCGCGAGATCTTCCCCAAGAACCGCTATTTCTGAGCTTCACAATGTGAAGATGGTCACAACACCAAGCAAAAAGAAAAAAAAAATCCTCTCTCAAAGCCCAACCCATTTTACCCATCGGAAAACCCTACCAACTCTGAAGGGCAACTCATAGTCCTTGGTAACAGCCGGTTCTCTCCTTGCGGCCTCAGCTTCAGACCATTCGTACACCCCACGTTCTTGCCGACTGCCAGGCACAGTGTTGTCCAGGATAACAGCAAAAAGGAAAGCAATCACCATATTCAACGACAATAATGTGTTTGTAACATAGTTCACCTGCAACAATTTGTGTAACTTGTTACATTGCACACAATAATATTAAAGTTGGCATTTACAAGTTAGAACTAGTTCTTTTGATATCCAATAAATATATGATTGAGAACAGGCCGAGTCAATAACATTTTTGAGGGGGCAGCAGTGGCAAAACCTGTGCACAGCTCCCCCATGTTAGAACATAAAACATAAGCACATCTATCCGTAGCAACTTACACTTGCAACTATTTTTTCTCAGACAGCTATGTCCTGAGCATCAAATATACTCGAGTTTCAAAATTTTCTACAGACAATTATCAAAATTGAAATCACTATCCCAATTGTGTTAGTGTATGACCCTGACCAAGAGGAAGGAGGTTCAAAGTCCCTAATCAAGATATATCTTTATATAGAGACATACTAATTTTAGGCTAAGTCCTATTAAACATAGTTAACTAAATCCAACATAAATCACATCAGGAAAAAAAATTAAATCTAAAAAAACCAACTTAAAAATATCCTACTTCAAATATTTCTTAAAAATATAAGCAAGACTGCTTGATTCTGCATCAAGAGACTCCAAAATTAAGTCAAATCATCATAGGTACCAGTCATTAAACATGCACGATAAACCGATATTGACTGAGTATATTTCCAATTACAAAAAGGTCAGAGAGAAGCATACCCCTCCATATTTGCTGCGGATAGGTCCATGAGAAGCAACAATATATGGCTGAAAGTAACTCGGGACAGATAAGTTGGTATTCGGAGAGATACCATATTGCTGGAAGTAGGATGGTATTGATAGCGAGAAAAATAAAGATAACCCAACTATGATAATATTGCGGGAGCTTCCAGCTTCGCTATAACGTAAATTAGACAATCCTAGTGCTGCAAGCATCCCCCACATGAAACAGAGGAGTGCAGCCACCATGACTTGAGGAATTGAAGCAATAAAACCTCCAACTTTACCTGCAAGCATTCAGAAATGTAATCAAGCACAAACCAGTATATGGAAGAGGCAGGTAAAAAAAAAAAAAATCCTTCAACAGTTTTACTGTTGTGAACTTTCCAAAGGAAAATTGCCATGAAAAGTCAGTATAAGACATTTCTATGCAGGTGGCCTGATAGAATCAACCCTCCATTGGGCATCTCACATGGTCTAGCCAACATATAAAATGTACACACAATTGAAAGAAATAGATGAAATTTTATGTTAGCACAGACAAATATAGGTGTAGACCGTGAACTCCTAGCAAATAGAACAAAATGTATAACTAAATAAACATTTATGGCTCAATGTTTTCCATTTGAGAAGCATTGTGTCACTGAAATTTTTTCCTTTATGTATTTTTTTTTTTAAACAGATACAATAGAAGATTCAAACATAAGATCTCATGCAACAGCACCAGTTTACAACCTCGAATGGAATATAGACTGTATTAGTTGCTTCTGTTGAGTCAAATATTAATGCTGGGTTCTTACCCAATAGCTTAAGTTTTTGGGTCAAACTGTTACTAAACATGATATTAGAGCTAAAGGTCTAACTTCATATAAAATATTTGAATTTTGTTCACCATAAACTTAATGGAGTTTGTTATCCATACACTTACAGGAGCTCGTTAAACTTAAGTATTAATGTTGGACTCTTAATGGCTTAAGCTTTTAGCAATGTTCTAAAAACCGAACTAGACCGCCCGGTCGGACCGGTTCGATCGGCAACCGGCGGCAAATCCAGTCCAGTATATATAAAAAACTGCCATTTTGATTTAAACCGGATTGGACCGTGGTTGGACCGTTGGAATAGTGCCAAATCGCGGTCCAATCGCAGCTAAACCCCGCCGGATTCCGGCATCTTTCGACGGAGAAAACACCCCCATTCGACGGATGACATCTCCACGACCAAAACCATCCATTTTCAGTCGCCGTCGTCCAGCCTACGTCGATTGCTATCCACCTAAAGTTCACGCGTGACGCGACGTCGGATTTCTTTCGTTGATTCCGGCGAGTTCCAACGACGATGGAACTCCCTAGCACCACGATCAGAGTCGCCAGCACCTACACATCAAAAGCCCCAAGATTCCAGCTTCGATTGGCCGTCGATCGTCGCTGCTGCCGCCACCACTCACCAGAATCTTCACGCAACAGGGGTGTTTTAGATAGATTTCAAACCTTAAGGGAGTATTATAGGGGTGTTTTTGATGAATTTCAAACCTTCAGGGACTAAAATGTAATTTTACAAATTACGGTCCAACCGACCGATCCAACCAGTCAAACTGGAAACTGGACCCTTGAAATGGTCATTGTCCGGTCCGGTTTTCAGAACATTGGCTTTTAGGACAAGTGACAACAACTTTAACTCAACTCATGAGAAAAAATTCTGCTTCCTGTTAGCCACTAGTTATTTCTATAACAGATAGACAAGCCACTTACAGTATTCAAAAACACTATTTATTTTTTTATTGCCAAGCTGAGAATTCTGCCCAGAGTCGGTGCAAAACAATGTACCAATCCTAACTTATGAACTGTTTTACAAATAATCAGCATTATGTGACAAAACATGGCACACAACCAGGGCTATGTGAATTGAAATAAACATAAACATAGAGTATAATAATACAAAATTTACAAGAATTTTGCCACATCAAATAGTTAAGCACCTCGCTTCTATCCCACACATAACATTTTTCTTTCCTGTTACAACTTTTGCTATGAGTTTTGCTGCTACATAATTTCCACTGATTTTCCTTGTAAACTATCATTCACATAAAAAGATCTTTTCAAAAAGTGAAGAAGCAAAGGTTATTCAGCTTATTTCAAAAAATAAATAGATAAATAAGAGGGCATATATCCTTCAGAGGTATGCAATACGAAAAAGGAAATCATATACAGGACCATTCTAGTGACATTTGATTCTTAACTCAAGCCCTTAAAAAAGAAACTCAATTAAGTTATGTAAAATCATGGTTATTTAACCTATGCCTACAAGAAATAGAATTTTTATTCTAAAACAAGACAGCGAAAGATTTCATGCTTCAGTTTTTATAGTCATCAATAAACTATGAAAATATGAGCTTGATTGAACTTACCTACAAGAGATAAGACTACCAGAACGTACGCACCAAACTCGACTGCTCTGCGGCTTCCCATTTTAGTCACAGCAATGGTGTGTACATTTTCGGTTAGAGTTGTGGACCCAGTTCCTGTACCCCAGAGACCAGCCAAGACACTAGAAAGGCCTTCAAGACCAATCCCTCGACCAAGAACACCTGGGGTTGGAGGTCTGGATGCCACCAAAAGCGATGATGCATGATATGAACCAACCTAGGAAGTTCAAAATCACAGGAAAATCAGGAACACAATAATCAAATAATTTTGCCTAACAGCGTCACCTACAAAAATCTAAGAAATAAAAAAAATTAAGCACAGTAATCATGAACCTAAATTCATTGTTTTCTGTGGTTCTAAGGTGACGGCACATGAATCTGTTGGACCAATCAAGACACCAGCCTCTTCCTAAGAGATTCCAAACCAGTTCGACCACTCCAAACATTCATAAAACTCCAAGAAAATTGCAAGACAAAGGAAATTTGGAAACATGCTGTATTAAAAACTCCAATCCTAAGATTCATTGTCCATCCATCTATTGATCACATTTTTTATTTATTAACTGATGTCAATAAACACAATCTCAAGGAAAACTTGTGTAAGCCAATGCTTCTCATGTAAGCATACATTAATATCTCATATAACCTCCGAATTGAAAGCACAATTAATTGAAAATACAACTACAGTGGGGAAGATAGATGGATGGACAATGAATCTTAGGATTGGAGCTTTTAATTTGCAAATTATATAGCCAATGCTACCCATGTAAGCATACATTAAAAACTCCAACCCTAAGATTCATTGTCCTGCAATTAAATTGAAAATACAACTACAGTTAAGTGAAGATAAAATAAGCATACATTAATATCTCATATAACCTCTTTGACGTTTCATTAAGGCAATCATACAAAGTTCAGAGTTTTCATTGTTCCTTTTTGCAGGTCACCAATGTTTAACTACCAGTATGAACCGTATAGGAATTAAACTTTTACACTAATGAAAATTTTAAACTTCCAAATAACAAACATAAAATAATTTGCATGTTATAAATAAAATGAATCACCCTCTGAATCTAACTTACAAAGAAATTAAGAATCCTAAAAGAGTTCAAACTGTAAGAAAATAACAAATCTTTGAGAGAAATGTCAACCATAATAGATCAAGAAAACTAACCGAATCAACTGATGCAATTATGGACACCACACACATAACAAGTGCCATTTTCCAGTTGAACACAGGAGTTCCCCACTGCAATGGATAAGGGAACCTAAACCATGGGGAAGATTTCAATGCATGAGAAGTATCAACTCGACAATGCTTCATCCGGGAAACGTACTTTCTGCAGTGGTCAGATACTATGTTTGATGCAGGAACATTTACATCACAGTCTTTGTAGTTATAAGCTCCTGCTTCGGTCAAAAGAAAAGCAGCGGCCCAAGTGATTGCCAGACCCAAGGGAACCTGGCAATACAATGAAGACAGCCACATTAGAGTCATGAGAAGAACCCTGTACACAATGACTATACTGTAATATATATTGGGAAAAGAACTATAATAAACAAATGATAAGATATATAATCGGAAACCATGACCTTACCGCATAAATTAGAAATATGCGATGACCAAGAACAGAAATCTTACGGAGGTACTGCATAAAGTATGAAAACAAGGTTTCAAATATTAGAACACAATCCAATATGAAGAATTATTACAGAATAAAATGTTTATAAGTAAAACAAATAGTCTTAACAGAGTAAAACAATAGAAACCATGTGAAAACTATAATTGGTAGACAGACATTGTACATACCAGAGAAAAAAGAATCACCAGCAATATTTGCACTACACCAATTTCAATGCAGGTACCAACAAGTGGGAAACCATAACTGTAAAAGGAAAGACCTACAGCAGCAATAGTTGGGGCAACAACCACTGGATTGATCAACCTGCAAAGAAAAGGAAGATGAAGTTGAGTTATTGATTTTGAGATAACATTTAATCCTCAGAAAACTTATAGCTGGAATTGTTATGAGAAAAAAATAAAAAAATAAAAGGTAATTTAAGGCCATACACTATAGCATAATAGAGAAATTAATGCTACAAATACAAATTTGATTGCAAATTCCTTTTTTTATTCCCATAACTTTGCAACATTAAAGCCACAGAAAAAATTATGACCATTTCAAAAATTATATTCTAAAAGGAGGAAATCAGAATCTTAAAGTAAATAGCAAGTTCTTATTTCAGGCTTCAGAAATACTACATCGCTTCAAATATAATCCTTTCATCTCAAAATTCGACTAGGCACACTAGAATGGAAAATCCTAAAAGGTTCAAAACATATCACCCATCACCTCCTGTAAAAAAAAGTAAAATAAAAAATAAACCAAAGGTTGGTCCCTGCAGCAAGACAACAGTGTAGCAAACCAAAGAGTTTACAACCCATATATTGACATCTCAAGGAAAATGGTTATGCAATCGATTCTTTATCTCTAGGCCAGAACTATATAATAGTCAAAATCAAAGCAATGCAGAGTTATCACCGTAAGAAAGTTTATCAAAAAGACCTCACCAATTCACAACCAAAAGACAAGGCAAACTTTCAGTTGAAGATATCAAACAGTATTTGACACCCTAAAATCAACAGTTAACTCCCTGTTCTATACTCGGTTAAGCTACCTGTTAAGAAAAATAATAATAATCCAACTTAACTGATTTATTTATACCCCATATGGAAATCCTTATATCACCCATGTAACCCATTGGTAAGGAGTTAGGACCATAAGATAATCTAGTCTTATACTAAATCAAAACCAATGTAGACCAAAGCAAACAACAGCACAGACCCATAAAGTCAGTCATGAAAAATACTGGTTTGGAACAATTACCTTATTGATATTGGAAAACCAAACAGATTTTCCTACTGTTGCTTCAGCTTGCACAAAAGAAAACTTTTGCAAGCACACATAAAATCAAGCATATGAGGAAATTTCTTGATACAAAAATCAGAATAACATTAATACAGAATGAGTCCATTTAAAAGGTCAAAACATAAGTTCATTAAATCAGCTTAATAAAATCAAAACAAATGCAAACTGCACCAATAATATGTATTTTAAACTTGAAGCAGTATAATTAACACAAAACCGAAAACAGAGCAAGTAACCAAGTTAACTAACTCAGAAGGCTAGGCTGCACAAGCTAACCAATTAAGGGCTCACTTGGGCTTATTGTAAAATCCCTTGGTTTCAACTAAGAGATCAAAGGTTACACATTCCCTGGGGGTCACCCATCTGGGATGTATCCCAATAATTTCCTAGTTCCAAGGTTGGAAGTTCTAAATACCCCCATTTTAGAATTTAGCAGAAATGTAGGTGACATCAAGTAGGAAAAAAAAAAAAAAAAACCAACTAATTAAAGCTTCATACTCAGAGCTGCTAACCTGGAAAGTCAACATAAAATATAAGTTTGTAACCATGAGGTAGATACACGGTTTGAACCTTATTTGACATATATGTCAGCATGTTTAACATAAAAGAAAAACCTAGAGGTTGAGATATTCAAGAATTACCATTTATGCATTATTTTACAGTTTATTAACCTTTTTCCTCAATCTGCAGAAATACTTTGTCCTTTGAATACCCTAGTAACATGTACAGGCGATAGAACATTAACCAAGTTACAACCCAAGCTAAAACCATATCCAGTACAACATATGAATGAAAACAGTCACCTAAATAACAGACCCAAAATGGATCAGTACAAGATTTCAAGAACTGAAAATGGGTTGCCACCTCGGCACATGGGCTATTGAGGAAGCATCCTTTGAGAAACTATTCTCCAACAAAAAATTCCTTCAGCATTCCACTCATACCCATAAACTAACAGTTATAGCTACTAGGGTATGACTGGTTATAGGAAATTATTAGTTTCAGTATTCAATCATCTCCAAAAGTTGTGAGCCTCATCAATGAATCTCATGTAATGTATGTTAGCTAATATATATAAATTTTACAATGTAAATGATGAATATGTACATTTCTCATTGCTAACAACCTAACCACCAAGAAGAAAATTCCTGTTTAAACAAAATAACTCTGAGTCCTTTATTAGTTCAATCAAACTTGTAACAGTTAGTCACTAACACTTGGTAATGGAATGAGAAGCAGGTAATGATAAGTAAAAGATTCTAAACATGAAAAGCAGTAAGATGCTAAAAGCATACCTTGAAAAAAAGGACATCAGTCCGCTGTATCCAAGTATAGCTTGAAAAGCTGAGGCTATGATAATAGCTCCCTGCAACTCCTTCATAATATGCTTGAAGTTCTGTCAAGTGATTTCTCACATGTTATGTTAACTGATTTCTCTTAACTGTCTTTTTAGATAGGAAAAAGAAATGCTTAAATTGTTTTAACTTCAAGAGTAGAATGTAATATAACATATAAAATTACTTCCTCACCAAAAGTGCTAAAATCTATAAATAAATATAAGGTGCTTTCATCAATAACTTTTGTCGAATTCAGTCAAAAATTCTTGTAGAGTACAATGACATTTTCATCTATTGAAGCATGAAAAACCAGCTATAAATTCCAATAATTGATTTTCCTATAATCCATACCCACACCTATTAAAATCCAACCCGCCCTCCACCTTAACCCTAATTCTAGCCCACTGATCTTCACATTGCTTTCAGTAAAATTGATTACTCCATGGCTACACATATAGAGGAGATACATAATTAACTTTGAGCAACCAAAGCGCTGCAGAGAGAGATACGGAAAAATGACAAATACAAATTAGTAATTTGTATATGATTTAATTGAACTACTTTATGAATTCATATTATCAATCAGTCCAGTATAGTAAGTAAATATGAATTATCTCATCAGGCAAATGCACAATACGTATCTCAATATAGAAGAAATGGTGAAGTATACGAAAGAGCAACACCAGCTAACTTGTATTATAATTATACGAAAAACATGAAAGTAGATGCATACATTGCCATTCAGTCCTTGAAACTCTGGTGAGTTGATTATTGCTAATGCTGGTGCCAGGAAAACAAATGATGGACCTTGTATCAAAGGCAACCTTGACCCAAAAGATGTATGCAAAAGTGTGGTCACTCCCGATACAAAGAGCACCGTTGATACAACCATTGAAGTATCCTCCTATATATACCCATAACAGTCAAACATTAAAATAATTCAAAACTAAACATACAAAGGCTACAGGATATATCAATTTCTTCGAAAACCAAAAAATAATAATAATAATAATTGTAAAGTAACTCACGTGTGTGCCACCCATTGCAGGAACCATGACGAGCGGAATAAGAATCAATGAACCCAAGATTGAAAGATAATGCTGAAACCCATATAGACCAATAGGAACTGTAACATTTTCCAAAAATACAAAACCCATTTCAATTCATTACTGAAATCAATAAAATAAACCTCAATATACATGACTATGGCCAATAAAAAATTAGAACATTTAGAACAATGATACTCATACAAACTAGCAATACAACTGATTGGCACTATCCATCGAATTCTTTCTTAAGTTTTACTCTTCCAATATATTTATGCCGTATCATTTTGTATAGAAAAGATTGTATATTAGTTTGTCACTGTAGTATCTCCCAAAAAATTAAACACAAAAAAGAGACAGTTCGATTGACCATTAAATCAATTAAAAAAGAAAACACTGGTCATTAATCCTCCCAATTATTACAAATAACTAACCAAAATCCTCCCACGTCATACAAATAAACAAAAATAACCCCATCTTAAATTAGTATCAATTAAAAAATTACATAATTAGCACCAATAAACAAGCACAACATTACCCACCTAAACAATCCAAGTTAATACAACTCATAAATCAAAGGGAAGAAACTAAACATTTTTCTAAAGCTAAAACTCTCACCAAGGCCAGGAGTGTCTCTAAGTTCATACTTCATATGCGTCTGTTGTCTAGGGGCAAAACCGTCATCATCCATACCATCAACCACCACCACGTCATCATTCCTCGGCGCTCTCCTCGGCTGCTGCTGATTCGTCTCCGTTTGCACCGCCGTAGCCGGAGCCGGAGCCACCCCGTTCCCGTTCCCGTTCCCATTCCCATTCACACTCAAGCCCTTGTCCGACTCCCTCCTCCTCTTAACCGTCTGATCCTTATTCGAAGGCGTCGCTTGCACCTTCTCACTGTCGCCATTAACAACCAGCTGTGCCGAAGCTGGCACCGGCGGCGGCCCCGGAGTGACCCGAGCCCGAGCTGCTTCGAGATCCGGTTGTGTTTCCGGCTCTTTCGGCTTGGGCGTCAAGGTGATTTGCCCGGAATAGCTGGCATTAGTCTCCCCGGAGAACTTGGGGCGGAAACCAGTGCGTTTAGCCCAAGAGGAAGGAGGAACAGGAGCAGAATCGGGTGCGGGCGGCCACGGACCGGGTTTGGGACGATTTTTGGGGTTGGAACTTGACATTGAAGACGATTGTTTGAATTAGTGAGTCATAATAATAAAAAGATTGAAACTTTTATAAATGGGAGGGTAGAATGTGCAGATCTGAGGCGTGTTTGTTCAGGGTTTTGAAGAAATTAAGAATTTGTGAGGGTTTTTTGAAAGAGTGAGTGAAAAGATAGTTTAGGGAAGTGAGTGAGTGAGTTGAGTGAAGTGAAGTGAGCGAGAGAGATGACAAAAGACGGACAACTAAGAGGATAGTGGAGGAGCTAAAACCGCGTTTTATTTTATCTCTGTTTTCCGAAATAACGGGATTATTGTTCCATTTAGACTTTTACGTCTGTTTGTCCTAAAGTTAAATAATTCTTGCGTTACAAGATTTGATACAGTAAAAATTTGTTTAAATTAAATTAAAAGAACTTTATAATATCTCAAGGGGGGTGAAATGTTGGGGCATAGCTTTCTGTGAAAGAAGTCAAATCAAGAAACTGATAGTGAGTGAGAGGTTAAATGCATGGGCCAATAGGACTAGATTAAGCCTCGCCCCATGGCTAAGATTTTGGCATTAAACACCAATATGTGAAAAAGCCACTTTGTATATCTTGAAAGTGACTTGAATATATTTCCTAAATCCTTTTTTATTTTGAATTTCATCATATCATCTTAATAACCGTTATACTTTCACCTAATAACATAAATAAGTGATTAAGACTTTATGAATCGGGATCTCAAACTTTGTATATATAATAATATTTCTCGTTTAGATATGAGTATATATTACCCAAATTGTGACATTACTTATATATTTTAGGGTTTCTAACAATTTTCTCCTCAAACTTTGAGGAAAGTTATAACATATCCAAGGGTTTTGAATAGTAACATATACATCCAAAAATTGATTACTTTACCATAATATCCTTTGACTAATTATAAACACTAAATTTAATTGAATTACAAACTTAAAATTGAATATAATAAAATGGGGAGAGCAAAGTCTAATAAGATAAAGAATACTAAATTTTTATATTAAATATAAAAAAAATGAAAAATATATAATTAAACAAAGGATATTATAGTCTTTATATGGTAAAGTAATAAATCTTTTAGGCGTATTTGTTACTATTTGAAACCCTTAGGTGTGTTGTATTTTTTTTTTTTGTAAGGTAATTCATCTTTTACTACTCAAACACAAGACCCTTAGCTATAACTAACCCCAGTATCTAAGGATTCACTTGGGAGTTTTATATGCTAGCGGTTATGAGAGTAAACCATCGTAGCGGTTTCGAGGGTAAATCATCGTAACGGTTTTGAAGGGTTTTTAGTAGGAGTTTTTAAAACACCTAATATGTGCTTGGGAGTTTATTTTTTAACGGTTCTAACAATTTTTAAAATGATAAATTTACATATATGCCTATAAAAATACCCCAACTTGGGAGTTTTATTTTTTCAATTATAAGGTAAGAGTTCTTTATTTGTTTTCTACTTATTAGTATTTTATTACTTCAAGTGTGATAAAATCTCCTTATCTTTCTTTGTCATTCATTGCAACATCTGGAATGATTGAAAAATTGTAGCTCTACTTCCAATAAAACATCTAGAAATGAGATTTTAATAATTTTTTTTACGATTGCTTAAAATTATTTTACATTTAATATGGTTTGAGATGTGTATAATACGGTTAATTTTTTTTTTATATAATTGGGATAGTTTTGTAATGGATAGGGTATTTGTGGAATAAAATTTTGAAAACCAATCAAAACACCCTGATTTTGGGTGTTTTATAAACTTATCAAAAATACACTACACTAATTTTGGGGGTTTTGAGCCAGTCAAAACCAGTGCATAAAAAATCTAACAAATAATGATTTTAGAACACTTCAAAACCAATTTAATTAAAAATTCCTCAAAATTAGTGAAAAAAAAACCTTCCAAGCAGACCCTAAAGGGCTTGCCGGGAGTGTTGTATTTTCCTCAAACCTTAAGGAGGAAATTATTATAAACCCATTTATTTTAGAACAAAAAGTTTTCACTTTCACATGAATTTTAGGTGGCACATAAATTGAGTTGACTGTTGTATATAAATTATTGTGTACAGTTATAATTAGGTAGGTGGACTTGGAATTAACATACAAGAATTAGTACCAAGGAAGTTGCACCAAATGATGCGTTTAATTATGTTACATAATTTAGCATTTAAGTGTACAGTTAGTTTCCGCAGCTCATACTCCAATCTTGAAGGTCCAAAACCAAACACCCTTACCTGCCACTTGTTAATTAACTCTATTTAGTGTTGGGCTTAGCTTTAATACAGCCTGAAAATATTGACAGCCAATTTCAACCCAATTCACAAAAATGCCATTTAATTCCTCCATCAATTCTGCTCTTGAATCCCACTGCTACCTTTGGGTTCTGGACTAAATTCTAGGGGTGGGCAAAAAAATAGGGTAGAACTGGAATTGGCAGGTACTCGANTTATAAACCCATTTATTTTAGAACAAAAAGTTTTCACTTTCACATGAATTTTAGGTGCCACATAAATTGAGTTGACTGTTGTATATAAATTATTGTGTACAGTTATAATTAGGTAGGTGGACTTGGAATTAACATACAAGAATTAGTACCAAGGAAGTTGCACCAAATGATGCGTTTAATTATGTTACATAATTTAGCATTTAAGTGTACAGTTAGTTTCCGCAGCTCATACTCCAATCTTGAAGGTCCAAAACCAAACACCCTTACCTGCCACTTGTTAATTAACTCTATTTAGTGTTGGGCTTAGCTTTAATACAGCCTGAAAATATTGACAGCCAATTTCAACCCAATTCATAAAAATGCCATTTAATTCCTCCATCAATTCTGCTCTTGAATCCCACTGCTACCTTTGGGTTCTGGACTAAATTCTAGGGGTGGGCAAAAAAATAGGGTAGAACTGGAATTGGCAGGTACTCGAGGTTTCGATTCTGATTTCTACTTGGAAGTTGGAACTGGCCCTCACAAGGTTGGTTATGGTTTTAAAAAATTGGAATCGATACTATGTGGTTCCGGTTCCACCATTATAGGAATCTGAATAAAAACCAAGACCTAGATAGGAACTATGATTGAACTGTAATTTTCATAAACTTTTGTGGGGTGTATTTGTCATTTTTTTGAACAATGGGGGGTAATGATTTTTCCCGGGTACCTGGAACTAAAACCGAAACATGTGTTTCAGGTTCCGGTTTCAGGCTTTTAGGAGCCGAAGCCGGCCGGTTTCAGTTCCGGTTCCATGGGATTTGGGTGGGTACCCGAACTCACCCACTCATACTAAATTCCCAACTGGGCAAACAACAATTTCATCCTTGAGGTTTGCATAACGAACCTAAGGATAAAAATTTGACTAAAAAGTTCTATAAGACTGAAGTGTTGCTTACATAAAACTTAAAGGAAGAAATAATAATTATTCTTAACTGGACTCCAGGTAAAAGACAGGCAAAATGTTTTTTTTTCAGAGGACATGCTCAGTTTTTGTAGATTCCTTTATTATTATTTAAACCCAAATGTGATGACATTAAGAGACACTCTTTTGATGCTTAAATATTGATATTCTGTTTGTTTCAGGTTAAAATATATATCAAATTCATGAATGGGTTTTTCATGTGCACAAATTTTGCAATCATTTATCTTTTTCTCTGAAAGCAACAGATGACAGCAATGTTTTTCTGATCTGTGAATTATGAGTGTTTCAACTTTCATGGGCATGATTGAACTGAAGGTTCAATTAAGACTTCCAACCAAGAAAAAGAGAAGAAGCTTTTGTTAAAGTAAACCTGTCATAAGGAAATCCACATGTTTTTTGTCTTCTCTCCTCATATATTTCAATCCAAGAAAATGAAAAATTACAGTTGAGAGAGAGGAAGAGCAGGGCATGCAGGAAGATCGAAGAGAGAAATGATGTGATGGGAAATATGGTGGAACCAAATTCTGTAAAAAGTAAATGTGACTTTCAAAAGGCAATTGTTTTAGTCCTTTTTTTATTTCAACTTGCTACTTTTTTTTCTTTTAAAAATTAATGTTCAATCCCATCTTCTCTTATGCCGTTGATTATATTATACCACTTGCCTTTTTTTTTTTGGTTTTATAAGACGGGAAAACAAACAAACAAACAGTCAATCAACGGTCAGTTTGAAAGTTTGTTACCAATTTTAAATTTCCATTTTTCATTTTTCTTTAATTAATCAACCAGTCCATGAAGAAATCAATTAGATTGCCAAAAAGGGAAGAATTTGCATAGCTGGTCCTGATAGTGGGAGGTGCAAGTGGCAATGGCTAGTTTTGGTTTGAGTTGAAGAAACCCAATTATGAGGAAGCAGTAGCCGATTTATGAGAAAGGTGTAAAATTAAAAGGGAAAATGACAAGTTCGTCCCTGAGGTTTTGCTTAAGTAATTTTGGTCTCATAGAAGTTTTTAAAAGCATTTTGATCAATGTCAGTTACATCTTGGTCACAGGTCAGTGGTCAGGGACTGAAATTTAGTTAGTCCAAACCTCCAGGATGAAAATGTTATTTTTCCTAAATGAGACCACCATTTCAAAAATGAAACAGTTGTTGGTTGTTGGATTGGATGGAAGTTAGTTATGTGTTACGGGGTTGTATGGTAATGGTAGGGACAAATTACTAGGCATTGCCCTGATTTTTCCAACTTGCTTTGATTTCATTAAAATTGAATTCGGCAGTCTACTCAACATACTAGTTCAAACAGAAATTTTGTGACTCAATGATAAAGAATTGGAATTTTAATTGATCAATTAACAAAATTAAATCTTACATAAACGATATCGTTGTCAAAGTGTGACTAATATTTCTTTAATCCGTCAAAATATTCACAACAAAATAAGTTGTCCCAAGTATTCTGGAAACTACTAGTCTCTGAAGAACCCTTGGGTATTTGCAACTCTTTGACAGATCTCAAGTAAACAATTCCTCGTCCTGAGGTGTTGTATAATTGTCTTTCTGCAAATAATTTTGAACCTGCAATCAGGAGGGACTACTCATTCTCTTAAAGTAGAGGAAAATAAACAATACATGCAGTGCCATGTCATGTCATGCAAATAACAATAACAAAAATAGTAAGTTTGGTTCCAGGATTCAAGTCTTATAATCCAGAAGAAAAGTACTTCTGCATGCATTGATGTAGAAAATAAATAAAATGAGGGATAAATTGAGATGACAATCAGTCAATGATTGTCCTCTAGAAGAAAATCTAAAGATTATTAGTTTTCGATTCACAGAGTTTGTGGTGTACTCATGAGGTGAACATTTAGGCAACATCAGGTTGATACCAGGGTAATCCAGTTATCTTGGGGATGCTGAAAAAATGAGTCATCTCAACATGATACCACAGCCACAAATTTTCCTTTTGTGCTAAACACATGATGGTTACAACCAGGACATATACCAAATGAATAATCAAGATAGTACCGTCGATTTCAGTGCCACACAGCAAAAGCAAATTTCTATTTTCAATGATTTGAAACATAAACTAATTAACTTAATCGAAACTTACATATGAATACATTTAATCGATAGGATGTTTGTCTGCCTGCCGAGATGTATAATGAGCAGAAAGTAAAAGGAGAGAAAGAAAAGCACTGGCTACAAAGATTGCATCAAACCACCGGTGGTAGAAGTCAAACTGAATTTCCCCACCCAACACCTCTGTTATAATAATCCTGCAAAGAAGTTTCAGCTCAGCAAAGCCATTCCAAGAATAGCATGTCTTCATCAAACTAGATTCTAATACTTAAGTGCTAAAGAATTTTGCATGCATAACTAAAACTTGCGCTAAATCAGGAATTGGAATGGCTTCAAGCTGTGTAGCCGATATTAGCCACAGTTCATAACTGTATATTCTTCCAAATAAACATCAAAAACATCTTCTCCCTTTTCTTTTCTTTGGGATCTTACTTTTCCATGGAGTTTCTTAATAATTTCAATATTTTTTCCCTACACAAAGATCTTAGAATATACAGTACCAATAACCAACATAAAGGGAAATATCTTGAGTCAATAATGAGCATACCTGTATTCATTTGCCAAGCTTTTTCTTATCAAAAGAATTGAAGAGACAAAATACATTCCCATAATTTCAGTCAAAAACAGTACAACGTTGCTTGAAGATCCACTCCCTACTCTGGAAATGGCAAAGAAGAACTGCACACAGACAAAAACAGGTCAAGTTGCAGGATACAGGATGAAGACTAAATCTTTTCCCAAGCTTCTATCATTTTCTTCCTTAGGACTGTTTGCTTCAATACAAGATGGAATATATCAATAGATTACTATGCTACTATGCTACTACCTAAGGCATGGGACATATCAATCAGCATGTTGTGCCCATTCTATAACAATCTAGGAAAGAAAGAGGGAAGAACCACAGGCGTTTCACTGGTCGTTATAAAAAAAAAAAAAAAAAAAAAAAAAAGAAGTGGATAAGTCCATAGATTTTAGACTTGAAATGATAGGAACATGGTTCTAACATGCATCACTTGCAACCATTACATGCCTATTTTTCCATCAGATAGAGTACTAAAATTTGCATCCTGCCTAGAACTTTTTAGCTTCTAGTTGAATGAGTAAATGTTTTGCTTTCACACCTAGTGTATAAAATTGTGCTACTAATGGACTTCTTTCCGAGGAATCCAAATTCTAAATTCCAGACTATCATTAAGAGGAGCTGATAAACAATACCTACTTCACATGCATAAGATATAAATTGAATATACAGCCATGAAAAGAGCATAATTACCTTCATCACATTCATCAAAAAACCCCGAACTGAAATAACGATCAACATCCCAATAAATATCAGGGAGATATACTGCAGAACAACTATGAAAAAATATTAGATAACAGCAATCACACCATGCAAGAGACTTGACAAAAGCATGTACCACTTTCTCATTATTCCACTCAACTTACACAATTGAAGTACTGCTAGTTGAAATTTACAGTACATATCAATTTTTCATAATGCACAAAGATTATTTTAAAATTAATATACATTTTATGGTTTCTTATAAAAAGAATGAAAAGATAATGATATGCCTCGCATGAAAAGATAATGATATGCCTCGCAAGCTTTCTACTCAGTTTGTGCTTTTGCAAAATTATATACTTTGCATGACAAATTAAAAAAAAGAATAACGATTTCAAACCAAAAATTAAAGAAATGGTAAAAATACAGTAAAACATGATAATTAATAAGAAAATGTCACTTCACTAAACACAAGAAAAATTAATAGTCAACTTTTTAATCATGGAAAAGGTTGGTAATTTAAAGCACCATGTTTGAGATCTCTCACCAGATTGCAATGTACAACTCCCAATCAATTCTGGAATGATATTAAACAGATTAATGACTAACCTGTGACAATAATGTAGCATCAATTCCTATATCAAAGAATTGCAAGAATATGCTAATAGTCATTGTAACAGGATCAACTGAACCAGCCTGCCAAGGAAGAGATTTTAACTTAAGAAAACAGTTTAAGACTAAGTGGTTACAGAATGTGAACCAATAAGTAGATATAGAAAAATTAAGCATATCAATGGAAGGATCATTAGGAGAGAGAAAAGTTACCTCCTTGAAAACAACACTTTGCAAAGACTGCACAGATCAATTACATCAATCAGAGATCCTACTTTTCATACATCAAATTAAATAAGAAAGGAACATCATTTAAAAGACCTTAGTCCATCCACTACCATGAGTTGTGCTACAAAGCTAACAGAGAAAGAAAACCTTAATCTTCACAAACAAATAAAAATAAATCTGGTCATACCTTAATCATTTTATAAACACAATAGATAGATAACGCATAGCCAAGAAGATTCTGCATGTGACCTCTCCAGGTTCGAGAATAAGCAGCAGCCTCCTGCAAAATAAGACCAAGACTGAGGACTGCAATTCCATATGAAGTATATTTAAAAGAAAAATACTGCAAAAGAATACCCAAAACAATAAAATAGCAATAATAATAGTCGTACACAGAAAATAAAAATAAAAAATGCAATGAATTGGATGAATATGCTAGACTGGTCAACATGCACAGTATAAAGATGTTGATATAAACAACGCTGTAAGGATGATAAAGACCTCACTCAATGAAACAATTCCAGTCAGCAAATTCACCCAAACAAGCAGTTCATCAATTCAAGATTAACAAGAACAATCCAAATATTTGTATTGAATTTAAAGTAAAACAGTACAGCAATATGAAAGCAATAGGATAATAAAGGAAAACAGAGTGCTAGCAGTTTAGAAGCTAGCGGCCTCCCACTGATAATTCCTTAAGCAAAATACTGTCCTTCACAAGTTAAGCTCCCCCCTTATATTCACAATTGATTCTCCCACAAATTTCCAATCAATCTAGGACACGTGTACAATAGCCTAACTAATTTCCACTGCCCTCATTCACACCCAAAGTCCTCCTTCCTTGCCTGATATAATTCTTATTAACGGGTGGCCTATCAAAGGACCACCAAGGTAGTAAAATGACACCAAGATAGTATAATCACAGATAATACAGGTCTGTTCAATAGATGCTATCACTGAGAAGACAAATTCAGAATAAACATATAATGACTAAGAAGCGCATTCAGATTGACAATCAGATATCTTGTACCTATTATTTTGGAATTCCTTTAATCATTAAAAAAAAAAAAAACTGTTATTTAGAACATCAGGCTTTCTCTATGTTTGGAAGCCCCTAGCAAGAAGAAATCACCCTCCTAGAGGAGGTCAGATACATGTAGACTAAAAAATGAGGAACACTAGCTGACCTGACAGCAAGTAGAAATAAAGAGATACAAGGTTACTAGCACTTCAAACAACTTTATATTTTTCTGAAAGAAGAGATTGGATCTTTCACTGGTAAAGCAAACTTGTACGTGCTCAAAAATTTATCCATGCAATTTTGTAAATAAGATAACAGGAGAAAGGATGATGAATGTCTCACACAGATCTAGCTTTTTCAGAGATAAGAGTCAACATAGGGACATGGTCGAGACACCATCAAATTCTTTGTTGGGAAGAAAATATTATTTACCACTCCAGACAACATGTGAGTTTACTAATAATTTAAACCTCTGTTCATGATTCTTATCTCAGATTGTAAATGAAAAAATTAGCCTATGGCATATCAATTTACAATATCCCACAAAATATCAAACCACTCAACAAAACCATACCATGCCATAATAATTTTACAACACAAAGAAAAAGATATTTCAGCTAATGAGAAAAAAAAGTAGCAACAACAGATCCAAAGGGCCAATAAATTGCAAAAATAATAATAGATCTGAAAGAAGTCACAGAGATTAATTTGCAAAGAAAAAATATATAAGTAAGAAAGAACCTTAGCTTGGCGAAGCTCATAGATTTCAAGAAATAACTGCTTTGATAGCTCCTCTAAAGCTTGCACCTCGGCTTCCATGTTTTTAACATCTTAACAAACAGAAAATAAATAAATAAAATATTTAGCAACATCATTTGAGGGATGAAAAGACTAAAATATGAATAAAGCAATGGACCTTCAAAGAACAAACATTTAAATCTTGATAATGAAATCTTAAACTTCCAATCATCTGAGATAGCATCCATACAATCAACATATGAAGCATTAAAAATAAAATAATCAACCTTTTGATATGCCATAAAATAAGTAATTTCAAACAAGCACAAAGACAAAACCATCATGGTATTGATTCACATAAAAAACAGCACAGCAATTGAAAGAAACAAATCACTAACCAGAATATTGATTAAAAAATGGAATTCTGATTTATCGAATTTCCAAAAAGTTTTCTTCAATGTGTTTTTTTTCAATTAACTCTTTTTTCTGAAACCACTTGGCAAAAAAAATTAATGAAAAACACACACACACCCACATTTCTTATTATATCTTGATTGTTAAGCCAAACAAAAGGAACTCATAGAATGGTGGGAAATCCCAAATGATGAGGGACAGAATCCTGGAATCTGTAAAAAATGGAGATGTCATACTTAGTACATCAGCATAGGCGGTTTACTCAAATGGCTGTGAAACAGAATGTCAGAGGGAACAAGTCAATTATAGTTAAAGTTCAGAGATAGCATGGTCGTCCCAAGCAGCAAAGTTAGTAAAAAGTTTCATGATTTGCTTTGCAGTGATCAGTAACCAGAAAGACAAATAGGATGGTTGGTACCAGTAGTTAAGGAGCTCAAAAAAAGAGACAAACCTTATATTATTCTTGTAAATCATGTTTCAGAAATATAACTAGTAGACTTCCAAAAGATTGTGAACTTATTTGGTTTTACTTTTATAACTGGTTTTCTCATTCTACATATGCTCCTTTAACATAATTCACAGACAACTTTTAAGCACAGATAATTTTGCAATTTAATATTCACAGGAGACAATGATGAGTCTAAATTGGAGAAAAAGCAACAAAGGCTGATTTGCCTGCAGCAAAAATAAACAAATAAATAGAACAAATGCCACAACAACAAAATAAAACAACCATTGAGCGTCCTCAAAAAAGTAAACCGTCTACTTAAAAAATGAACCAATCATTAACAAAAAGAAGAACAGATCAAAAGTGCAAGGAAATAAAAAAATAAACCTTGCTCCTTTTGGTCATCTTGAACAGATCGTACAACCGTGCCAACTATCCGCTTAAAAAATGATCTAGCCTTTAAATTCTGAAAAACATAACTTTCAATCAGCACATATTAATCATAACAAATTGCAAAGTATATTTAAACATAAAATAATTTAAGAAGTAAACATAACATAATTATATTTGGGTGTTGCTTTAAGAAAATTTAAGAATTTATACCAAATACTAAACACTAAAGCAAAATGATCACAGCATGAGCTCGTAACTTAGGTGCCATTTTGCACTGTATTTCAGTTGTGTTCAGCTTTAGATTCAAAACAGTAGCAAAATGCATCTGATATATATTGCCATGAGACTGAATTGAAAAACAGAGGAAGCATTCATCAATTTTACAATGGAAATCTCAAAAATGTATTTAGATAATTTAACAATTTATAAAAATATGAATTCTAAATTATATCTATACTTCAAAATAAATCTCAGCTGAAACTCAAAAAGTTTGAAATAACCTCATGCTCTTAACTCATTCTCCCCTCTTACCTCTTCTAGTCACTGCCCCATGCAATGAATTTCCCACTCTGTAATGAATCCAAATAACATCCTCCAGTTGGCTTCATGTTCTTGGATATCATACAAAAGTTTTGGGTTTTAACGTGGGATAAAAATGAATGTGTTTTGGAGTAAATATGAAGTTGTGACATATAATCTGCCATTTAGGACCATGACTAACAATTTTAATAAGTAAATCTAAGTGTAATCTGCCACACTAAAAATGTTTTTATGCTTCTAACTTTTGTTTTTCCATTTGTGTCAAAAAAGAATAATGAATAATTGTTAAGCACATGGACAACTTAAAGAGTTTTTAGTCACAAAACACCCTCACAGATATAATTATAAATAAAATGTTAAAAAATAACAAAATTATAGTTATAGAGGAGTGTTTAGAGATTAAAAGTTCAAAATTGTTTATCTGCCTGGAATTTGGGCTAACCTCTGAGATAGTTTGTGAAATTATCACAAAAAATATAGATCAATTATAGTGAAGTTAGTTATAATAAAAAGGAACCATTAGTAAAATAAGTGTAAGAACACTCAATACTCCATTTTTCATTTATGTATGAAGAAAATCAATCTTCTATAAAAAATGAATAAGAATGGATATCATTAAGAAAGTAAATGTTACTTTTTTTTTTTCTTGATAATCCATAAATCCCCTAATCTCGCTTTGTGAACCCAAATTCAAAATTGGAGCCTCCGTCGAACCTACAATATGTTGGAGGCGGGAAACAATAGCCTTTGGCCATGTAGGTACCCACGTGTATCATTTTATTTTTATTTTATAGTTTATCCTTTTATTTAGTGAATGAAAAGGATAGCAACTATTCAAAACAGCTTATTAGAAAAATTCTTGCCGGTGCATATCTGTCGTCTTACTCATATTCATATATTATATATGTCATGTTTTCACTGTTCTGGAGCTGAAAAATTTAGTCTAATTAAAGCAAAATAAACTGGTTTAGAAAATAGGCAGTGAAAATTGAGGTTTCTAGTAAAATTCATGAAATATTCAAGGAAATCTTTGAAAATTTTCAAAGAAAATTACAACTATTTCTTGAACTTCTAAGCAGGTTTCTACCTATTTTCACATAAAAAGTATATGTGCCTATAATTACGGCAAACCTCATGCGAGATTAGTAAAAATTTCCCTTCCACTTGCCATCATATGCGTTCTTTGATCTTGAAATTACTACATTTAGTTGCTCGTCCCATTTTTCAGGTTTGAGAAAAATTTCAGTAGACTTCAAATGCTCAACCACATTACTCAAACAAACAAACCTAAATAATAAAAAGTAACAACCTCCAACACAATAAAGACTCCAAATGACAATTAAGAAGTAGAGCAGTTTGAGTTAGAAAACAACAGAATAGTAGATCATACAAGATAATAATACCTCTTCAGATCCTTGAATCCGTTCCATCTCCATTTGACAAAGAATAATTTTCTTTTTTTTGGAAATACAAGTCTCAATTGATTGCATCAGTTGTCTTTCCAAGGCCTTGATTTCTGCTTCATCAATCTCTCTACCAAGTTTAAATGTTAAAATGTTAGGAGATTAAAATAAATAAAAAGAACTGAAAAGCAAACACAAATTTTGAATAATTAACCATACACTGCATTCTTAAAATCATAACAGAATAGTAAATACATCAAATTATAAATTCCACCTCTACAAGTTAATCTTTCTCTGAGTAATTTAATGCAAAATATTTGAAGATTTTTCTCTTGAAAATGGATAAGCTTGCTTCAGTAACAATAGAAAAAAGAAGACAAAGAAAGTAAGCAACTGAATGCAAATTTGGCAAAGAAAATACAAATTAAGCAGAAACATGTAGTAAAGTTCAAAAATTACCCCTGGGGTTTACAAAATTGACAGATGTGCGCTAGGTTTGGGACTTTTCATCACACACCACCCCCGAACTAATTAGAAAATATGCACAAACCACCCTTTTCTCTAAATCCGTTCAATTTGAACTAATGGTTCAGGGGTAGCAAGGTAATTCTTGATCTCAATCCAATCACAATACATAAAATACAGCCACCATGATCACGACCATTCCAGCCACCATTAACACAGACAAAAACATAGCCATTTCAACGCCACTACCACAAAATCAGAAACTATCAACACATTGCAAACACCTCAATTGAATCTAATTCACCACCAAAAAGTTCATGATAAAAAAATAGATCCAAAGCCACCAGAAATTCAGAATAAAAAATGTACATCCTAAATCTGCCCTCCAACATTAGTGCCTGATTAAATCCATAACCTCCACAATCTATGCACAACCACCCTAAACCCTAAAACTCAGGTAGTTTCTGAAATTTACTTGTAACATGTAACATACCATCCCCTTATTGATAGTGTGAACAGATTCTCTACAGAGTACCGACTCAGCATTTCATAACATAATCTGAATGCCAGCTTTCTACATTCATTCAAAGGGACTTATGATGCTAAAAGTTTATATGCATCATGCATACTGATCAAACAGGCACAAAGGCACAACTAACAATTAATGATCAAGCAAAGTCTTTTACCATCAATCATGAAACCACAGATAGAGTCAAATGAAAAATAATACATGAAAACTTATAAACTTTAAAGAAATAACATTACGCCATTACCTGATGAAAAGTGACAAATAACTGTAGGGCAAATTTACAGCTCCAAAACCAGATAGGACAGCCATGACAGTCACGCCAATGACCCCAATTCTACTAACCAACTGAGGCATGGTGAAGAAACCTGAGAAGTAAAATCATGAGGACCTAAAACACATTTTGAGACACTTGAACAAAATCGCAGTTCAAATGTTACAAGTGACAAAAAAGAGGAAAAAAGAAATTTGCATGGAAAAAGGACATACACCATGGAAAGAAACATATACTCTTCTTTGGCACAGAAGCTATGGTTCACGATGCAATAACTTGAAGAGACAACAATTAAACCAACTATTTGATTTAACTTAAATATCTGTTTACTCCTAATGGAGGTTAGGCAGCTACAAGAAAAACTTGTAATTCAACTATGTGTCACTTGACCCTAAACCCTAAACTATCTAAAATCTGACCAAATCGCAATCCTAAACTCATAACAAATAATGAAGGCAAATTCCATTGATATTCCTTGACATTTTGCTAATATTGGTAGACCCAAAGATCCAAGATTCATCCCCTTGAAATTATAAAAATCATCATAAGCTTCCTAAAATTATCATCAAAAACCTCCCTCAAAGTTTCCTAAAATTGTCAAAAGCCTCCAACGTACAGATTTGCTAGTCTTTTCCTGAATTTTAGCAGACCTTGAGTCAAAAAAACTAATCTCTAAGATAAAATAACAAATAAGAAATCAAATAAATAAGGACAACTTAGTACTAATTTGCCGCATACCACTGCACTAGATAGCCCCATCCACCCCCAAAAAAAGGAAAAAAAAAAAGCGCTCTAGCTTTGGCATAATAGTTATTTCCTTTTGCACTTATAACCCTCCACTCCATGAATTTCTGTGTCTAATCCCTTCAAATTTGGAGTAGTTACAAAATCCTCAAAACTGAATTAAATTTGCTAACTTCCCTTCCCTCACTAATTCAATCTCAATGGTATTTAATACTAGTAATTGCATTGTCCATGTAAAGTTTTAATCATAAATCGCATATTTTGCATTTTTATTGAATCAGCTTTATTTCATTTTCTTTCAAGCTGCAACAGCTTGTGCGTTTCACTTCTTTCTTATTGCATAGTAGTAGTAGTAATTATTATAATAATAATAAAGCGAAAAGGGGGAGCATGAAATGCAAATTTAATGAACAAAAAATGATAAAAAAATTAAGAAGGTATGAGGGCACACGAAAAGAGAGAGCAGCAATGATCTGAACAGAAGTATATAAATATATCAAAAACCTTTATCAGGTGATGGCATAGGGAAGTGAATGCCCATGCGCCAAAAAGCATAAAGAAATGCCAGCAAAAACAAGATGGCTCCCAGTGCAGCCCGCTCCTTCCTTACGCCTGAAGTGAATCAAATTTCAACAAGAAAACAGAAAAGAAAGAGAAACAGCCTCAAGTTCTTATCATATGCTCTGGTCCAAAAAATGAGGCCTTATATAATATCTCAGCTTCTAGATATCCGACTAAAATAGAGTAATTTCATATCTTTATTCCCTTCCCCCCATTACCAAAAAATTTGAAAAATATATAACTGCATTATATCATATACAGTAGCATTATTGAGATCAAATACATAAAGCAAAAGAAGACAGGCACTATGCAACTCTATATATAATAAATCCAAAACACAGATTTTATTTTGAACATGGAAAAAAATTATAGTTCTTATATTTCTTTATGTCTACAGGTTTTTGGATATTCCTCACTATTTACAAAATATCACATGGTCCAGCATCATAGTTATGATTCCTAAATAGAGTTACAAGGATTTCTCTGACAATTTAGCTGTAATTTCATATGGACACTCAAGCAAAGAATTTACACAAATATTATCAATTTGAAGAGATCTCAGCCAGCAGTTAAGCAATGCTACCCATTCCAAATAGATACCCCAAATTCTCATCCCAAGTAATCTGTTTCCATTCGTGACACTAACCGACGAGACAGGTCCAACTTACTAGCAAATGTAAAATATCACTTAGTTTAACCATACAACATAAATGACAAGCACAAATGTTTTAACAGAAAATTGGAAGGGGACATACCGCTGTTGCAAAGCATCAAGTAACAATGATAGTAAGGCAGCATGAAAACCAGAAGCAATATCAAACAAAATAAATCGACCTTCCAGTTGATCACCCTTGCCCTAGAGCCAAAACAAAATCCAACTAACTCATATCGATAAAATAATGTAATTGAAAGGAAAATAACAAATAAAAGAACAGTTAGAGTTGGTGGTTACTCTTTGGAAAGAATAGGGATGATCTCGAAGAGAACGAGCTGTAGTAGATTGCAAGAGAATGCAAAAACGACACTGAAAATGATCTGAACCAAAGCTCTCTTCTCTTCATACTCTTTGTAAAGTCTAATGTTCAAGAACCAAAGTCCAGCCCATCCCAGTAGGCACAAAGATCCCACCACCACCGCTCCTTCGTAAATCGCCCATCCCCAACCCATCTCCACCAACTATACTCTATAGATTTTACCTTCTTCAATCTTCACCAGTAATTGAACCACTATATTACCAAATTAAAAAGCATAAAAAACCCTAATCGCAAAGCATCCTCGCCTCTATATGATCTATTAGTCACGTTGCATTGTAGAGCTCCTCCACATTTCGATTCTGAATTTAAAGCCAAAATTGCAACAATCACAAGTTGCTCTCTTTGTATTTCTCTCTCGATTCTTACTCTAATCTGAATTCAGGCGCATTACAGATGCAATTGAACACCACATATTTCTCTTAAAATTTCACAAATACAAACGATTTCGACAGTTTTGTATCTGAGAAGGAAATTGAATTCCCCAGACATCCCAAGTCTGGACTTAAAATAATAACCCTGAAAATCGAGGCTTTTTTTTTTTTCCTAAAAAATTTAAAAATTTGACGTGACACACTTAATTGTAACTGAACATGCAAAAAGAGGTTAGAGTGAAAAGATTGAAACGTATATGGGTAATAGTATAATTAATAGAAATTTGTTTAAATTTTGAAAATTAAAAAAGACCCCCTCCCTTCAAAATCGCTCAATTAAGCAGTATACCCAAAAAAACAACCAATGAAACACCTTCCATTTCTCTGAGATTTTCGGCTATAAAAGTTCCTTATTTCCAACCAATATTTGATTCTAACGTTTCGTTACACAAAATCATGGTTGATATTCACAAAAATGAGAAAAACTCAACCTTATTCCAAATCCTAGACTCCAGCGGCGACCACTGTTCAAAGGTTGTCGAAGAAGACATTCCGGTGGATCATCTGATGAGTGAAGGTGGTCCAGAGGCAGAGGAGACAACAGCGGCATAAGAACAAAGAGGAGAATCAGAAAATGGTTCTAAAGAGGAGGAAGCGAGTGAGAATGAGGACATCGGTGAAGAAAATGTACGTTTTTTACTGGTGGTTTTGAATTTGATGAAAAAATTGATTGGTTTGTGCGAATTTGGGGGATATGTAGTTGGTTTTGATAGTTAGGTGGTTGTGGCGTTTTGTTAAGCAATTGGCAGGCATCGGGGGAGTGGCTTTGTTTGGGTTCTAGAGGATGGTAGAAGACAAGAGAGGCCGTAGGGAGGTTGTTTGTGGGAGGTTGGAGGGCTGGGGATAACAGGATGTGGCGGAATAGGGGGGCTGGAGGGTTGCCCTGCAATATGTAGGGCAACCCTCTAACCCCCTTATTCTGCCACCTCTTGCCATCCTCAGCCATCTCCAGTCATGGAACCTCCCACAACAGCCTCTGTAAGGCTTGCATTGGCTTCTTTGGTCCTTTCGAAGCCAAAAAAACGCACTTCCCGATGTCCTCGAAGCCCATATTCCCCAAATTGGCAACCTATTGGTTGTTTTGGTTTCTTTTGTTGCTGATATTTAGTTTATATCGATTGTGCAGATTTTTCGAAGCATAAATTATAAAGATTATGGGTTAGAGGTTGTAAGCGATAATGTACTATACTTCCCCATAAGGGTGACAGTTAGGTTGAGTTGGTAAGTTTTTATGAGAACAAAGGAGATTTTAGAGGAATAAAGGAAGGGTATGGACTGATTCAAAGATAGTTGTTTCGGTCATTTTGCGGACATTAGAGAAAATTGGAAGAAGGCGTTTTAGGAGTAGGGAGTGCATTATATGTTGTTGCACTCAGTTAAAAGCCAAAAAAAAAATGAAATGTGGTTCATAGTGGATAGGAAGCCACTACGTTTTGGGATGATGGAATATGCCCTGATGATAGGCTTAAGATGTGGGGCATTTCTAGATACGGAAGAGCAAGAGAGAATAATAAAGAGTAGGGCAACCGATAACTTGGCTAAAAAGGTTTTGGGGGGGAAGACATCCATTACAAGACGCGATTTAGAGGAGAGGTTAGGAGAAGATGGGTATGCCTCATCAGAGAAGTTCAAGATGTGCCTGGTATGGTTCGGGCATTCGATCCTAATGGCTTCTGACTCAACAAAAGTCGTTAATATGGATTGGGTGAAGTTTGTAAGCAATATGGACTTCTTTAATGCTTATCCATGGGGACGGTTATCATTTCAGCTAACCATTGAGTCCCTGCGTGGAAAAGACATGGCGACAAAGCATCGCCAAGCTGTTAAGAAGGATGGACCAAGCACGTACAATTTGTTTGGCTTCCCATGGGCAATGCAGATAAATATTAATAGTTTTTTGTTATATTTTTTGTATTATATGTGTTTTAATTATGATATGAACTTTTTTTTACAATGTAGGCTTGGATGTATGAGGCCATACCTATCCTGGCTAAGGGGAGGGGGGAAGAAGACTTCAGGTAAGCGACTGCAATTTCCTAGGATGTTGTGGTGGCACACCGAAAAGTGTGCCATTAGGATTACGACAAAATAGAAATAGAAATTCAAACGGCTTGGGTAAGATTAAAGGATTAATCTTTTGAATATGCACTTGCTTTTAAATGTGGCTTAAATTTGATTGATTTTTTTTCTTATTGCAGGGAGTCGTCCGTCCATTCCTTACCCCTACTAGGGGTGAAGCGGGAGAGGAGTATGTTACATCATTCAGAGCACTGGACAATGTAGCAGATGAAGGGATAGATTGTCTAATGCGGGATCTAGAAGGGGTCACGCTTGTAAGTGCAGCTGCAGGGCCACTGCTTGAGAATGTGTTTGAGGTCGAGGAGGATGAAGCTTCAATTGGCAAGAGGGAGGAGGATAGACAAGTTCGTACGCCTCCACCCAATTGGCAAATCGATACAACAAGCACCGATTTACCAAGGTGTTGGGGTCGGGAGAATGAGGTGGTTGACCTCATAAATGGTCTACTTGATAGTTTTACAATAGCCATTTATGAGAGGTTTGAAAAGATGGAAGAGCGAATAAAAAGAGTGGAGGAGAAAGTTGATAGGGTGGCGGAGAAAGTTGGTAAGATGGAGGAGGAAGTTGGTGGGATATTGAAAGTGATTGAAGTGCAACCTGAGCATAAAAGAAAGAGCCGAAAGAGTAAGCATGTAAAATCTCCTTACACAGCAGTATCGTATGGAAAGAAGAGGAAAACGAAGAAAAAAAATGAGGAAATCCGTGAAAGGGGAGAAACAAAAATGGAGGAGGGTAAGGCGAGACGCGAAAGAAGTGGGGAAGTGAAAATGGAGGTGGGTGAGGAGGAAGGCGGATGAAGTGGGCAAGTGAAAACAAATGAGTTAAATGTCGATTTGTATAAGCCAAAAGATGAGGAAAAGAAAAAACTCTTCTATGCCTGTTACAATGATTATGGAAGTGATAGGTGTGTGAAGTGCAAGACCAGAGATTATCCCCGGGAGTGGTTTGAAAAGATGTTGATAATGGGCAGGTGGCTCGACGACTCGGTGAGTTATTTTACCTTATTTTTGCTTATGTTTTCCATGAGGTATTGTATACTTATCATGTTGTTTTTATTTGTTGCATCACATTGATGAGGTATTGACACTTATGAGGCTACGACAGAGTAGTAATAGTGATATTTTGTATCCGCACTATGCCATCACTGATGTGGCCTTTGGCCAAAGCCTAGTAACTACATATGACACGTTAATGAAAAAAGCCAATGGTGGAAAAGAATGGCCACAAATGACTTCGACGGTGTCTTTGATGATTTTTGATTTAATCAAGGATATGCATTGGATAACCGTCATTTGGCTACTAGATGAGGGCTTATTGCAGATCCTTGATTGTAACTCGAGTATTTATCGAGAGAGGCAATTGGAGACGGAGTTGCAGTCGCTGTGTATATTGTTCCCGCAGTTGTTGCACGATAGCGGGATGTTTTAGCACTTGGGTGATGAACTACTGATGGGAAAGTGACCACTCAAGCGCTTTCTCATCCCGATAAATGACTCAAGATAAATTTCGTATAAAACTTACATAATACAATTGTTCTATAAGCTGATTCTAGTGTTAATGTCTTTCTCCTATTGTAGTGCTGATTGTAGGGCATATGCACTAAAATTTATTGAGTTTGACATGACCAACACCCCAATGGACAGGTTTAATGACAAAACAATGAGCAACTTTAGGGAGCGCTTAGCTGTTGAGTGCTTCCATAGGCATATAGATCCCTTTTGACTGACCAGAACCCAATCTAAGTCATTGTTGATGTTGTCATCAAAAGGCATGGAAGTTGGACTTAGAGTTTTGTAGTTTATGTGAAATGCATTTCTTATTGGGTTATCTTGAATAATTGGATTGTCTTGAATTGGATTAGCTGGTGTTATTAGGCGTCAGGCTGTTGATACTTGGGTTGTGGTGTTATATATGCTTTGTGGCCAAGGCCAAGGCTGGATAATATTGGAAGAGGTGTTGTACAAGAAGACGAAAAGGCTACTGCTAATGCTGATGCTGAAGGTGTGCTAGATAATTTTGGAGGATGGAGAAGTGGCTGAAGAGAATGATGAAGGGGGAGGATGGAGGCTGCCGGCGTTGCTTTTATTTTGGGTGTATATAAGACATTTATTTGTTGTTTATAATGTTGTAATTTAATGTAATTGACACATTTCTAATTTATACAAAAGCAATTCAGTATTTCTTTCCCTCTGTTGACTTTGACTTTATTTAGTATTCTTGTTAAATGGCATTAATGTGTTGATGCAATTAGGTTGTCAAATTCAAGAGAAAAGATGGAATTAATATGTGTTGGTGATTTTAGTTTGTCAAAATTGAGGAGAAAAGCTGGAAATAATATGTGTTGCCCATGATCGCTTAAGCGACCACATATATTGCTTAAGCGATCAAGGGTTTTCTATACATGATCGCTTAAGCGAGACCTTAAATCGCTTAAGCGATCGTACAATTGGGATGATCCAGATTCTGCCTTAAACTTGATTGCTTAAGCGACCAAGGCTTAAAGTGAAGAATTGCTTAAGTGATTGTGCACTTGGGATGATCTTTATTCTACCTTAGCCTTGATCGCTTAAGCAATCAAGGCTAAAAGTGAAGAATCGCTTAAGCGATACTTAAATCACTTAAGCGATCGTGCACCTGGGATGATCTTAATTCTGCCTTGGACTTGATCGCTTAAGCGACCAAGGCTAAAAGAGAAGAATCGCTTAAGCGATCGTGCACCTTGAATGATCTTGATTCTGCCTTGGACTTGATCGCTTAAGCGATTTCAGGTCTCGTTTGAGTGACCAAGGCTAAAAGTGAAGAATCGCTTAAGCAATACTTAAATCGCTTAAGCGATCGTGCATCTAGGATGATCTTGATTCTTCCTTCCACTTGATCGCTTAAGCGACCAAGAGTAAAAGTGAAGAATCGTTTAAGCGATACATAAATTGCTTAAGCGATCGCGCATTTGGGATGATCTTGATTGTGCCTTGCACTTGATCACTTAAGTGATCTTGAATCGCTTAAGCGACCAAGGGTAAAAGTGA